GAGCAGAGCTTGCTATCAACTTTTGATGGCAAATAGATAACAAATTTGATGCAGGATCTGTTATATCAAATCTTGCTGCCAAATTGCCGCCAGATATGCGGCAAAGCTTGTTGTCAGATAATTGCTGCTGATTTGCAGCAAAAACCGCGCAGAGTTTGTAGCGATTTGACGGCAGGTTGGCAGCAGAAACGACGCAGACCTTGCTGTGTTGCAAGCTTTGCGCGTTTTTGCTGCAAATTTGGCACCAATTGCTCGACAGCAAGATCTGTCAAAACCGCCAATCTGCCAAAACCGTAGCCTAATGTAGACACAGATGGCTATGGTTTTGCTGTGGGTTTTTGATGAAATTTGCTGCCAATCTGCGCGCAGTCTGCGCTCAATTTGCTTACTGAGAAGATTGAGGACATTATTGTATTAAAACTGATATTTATTGAAGTGGATGAAATATTAATTTATTAATATAAAACATTGCACATATATTGTAAGGTTATAAACTAACATTGCATATACATGCACGCACATAGAGATGTATAAATAAACTAAATACTTAGATCTAAAAATAAATTAAAAAGTAATAAAATACAATGTAATGTTTCTAAGAATATTCGATTAGCTAATTGGCTTACTGATAAGTTTTGCTGCTTACGTATCTTTATGTGTATAGTATAAACTGTAGTAAAATAATAGTAGTATAGTAGTAGTATAGTAGTAGTATAGTATTAGGAGTACAAATTAGTTCGGTCCGTTTTCAAAAGATAACTCTGGCTGTTATGAATGTTTCATAGTGACAGCTGATTTCGGTGGTTTCAGAGAGATTAGACATCTGTCAAAAATATTCAGTTTATATCGCTTTGAGTTTCATATAAAACCCCTATTTTTTACAGTGTTGAATATGTCAAATTTTATGTTAACTAAGCAGCATTTGCGGGAGGTTTTAGTGCTTTAATTGGAAGTTTTTCTGCTTTAATTGGAAGAAAAGTGCAGCTGAAGCGCATCGAATGCTTGTAGAAGTTTATGGTGACAATGCTCCAAC